TATTATTATATATGATATCAGTAAAACATTAAGAAAAGAAAACGAAGCATTGGATATCTAACTTTTTATGGTATGCAACTCTTCAGCTGTGTACAATCACCATCTCTCTAGATATGAAATTCATAAACCCTTAAGTCTAATGGTAAAGACTTAATTGTTAGATCAACAGGCTGCTTAATACATAACAGTTATATGTCATCATTTTAATAGATATAAATTAATTATCTCAATAAGCTGTATCAAATGTTGTTACTTACATATCCATTGAACATAATTAGTGAGAATCTCTAAGTCAAACTTATCTATTTTTTACGGATTATAATTGAATGTTCATGAACATTGTTTATAAAATTAGGATTGGACCATATGATTGAGATTTTTTAATTACAACTAATTATCAATTAATAACATTCTGTAATATAACTATAATTATATTTTCTCATTGAATGAATTAAATGTACAGTCATTTAATTCATGGATGTACTGAAGACAATGGTGGACGGTCGCATAATATTGTGAGATAATTAAAGTTAGACATTAACACAGTTGGATGCTGGCTGGCTCAGTGGTCTATAGGTTAAGTGTTCGCACCCAACATCAAAGATCCCGAGTACGAATCCCACGTACGGCATCCCAGATGCTCACTACAACAACTGTACAGTGCTACAGGTTTCCCATAGTGATCTAGCTTCAGTGGATTCATGAATTCAATCATTAAAAATGAATTAACTTTTTTTTTCATTTGAATTAATCTATCTATTGAGAATAACCCAATAATTCCGTTATTTTAATATAGTAATTAAATTATAAATTAATAATGAAAATATCATAAAATTAATTATTTGTTTATGATTATTATGTAATATGATAGTAGTATAACAATCTCTAAATGATTACTTCCATTAGATTGTTTTTTATAATCAATTAGATGCTCTCTACCTCCCTCCCTCCCTCCCTCCCCTTCTCTCCCCTCTCTCTCTCCCTCCCTCTCTCTCTCTATATATATATATATATATCCATTTGAAACGACACATGGTAACAATTGACATATTTTAATAAAAACTATATTCATAGTATTAGTAAAAGAGATAACTAGAAATGATAAATTTATTCATAATTAATTTTTATTGAATAGTAAGTAATTAAGTGCATTGATGTTATTATGACTATCAATTTACATTTAAAATAATTAGGAAAAAAGGACTATTTAATTAGTTGATAAGAACTTTTTTGAATATATAGACAATTTCAATGTTGTTTCATTCGAATATATTTTTACTAGATGCTTTAAAAAAAAACAAAACAACAACAACCAGAACATAGAAATATTCTAAAAAGGAAGAATATATATTTGTAAAATCTCAGCGAATGAATTTGAAGTAAATCTAGCGTTTCACCTGGCAATCTGATCCAAGCTTTTTCAAGGAAATAGAATCAAACAACAAAATTATCGAATATAAATAGGTACCATGGTTCTTCGGTTTACTGTATACTGAATAAACCATTGTAAACGTTGATTAGATGGCTTATTCAATTGCTATCCTTACCTAGTACCCGTTTCCCTAACAACTGCGTTACTTACTCAATGGTCTCAGAATATACGAGCAATGTTTCGAAGACACCTATGATTAAATACTAGTAACCTACGGATATCCTCTACTCTTACCGGCCACGTTTCACTGCCATAAAGTAGGACGGAACGAACTGCTGCTCAGTAAACCTGTCCTTTAGTTAATAGACGGATATCTCGCCTACGCCATAAATGACGCAAGTTGGCAAAAGCTAGTTGAGCCTTCTGTATCCGTGCTGAGATTTCGTCACACACCAGACCACAAGGGCTGATGAGACTTCCCAGATAAGTGAAGCGGTCGACACGCCCAATTACTTCACTCCCTATCATTAGTTCGGGTGTCAATGCAACCCAATCCTGAAGCAACATTTTGCATTTCGAGGGGGAGAATCGCATCCCGAACATGCTTGCATTGTTGCTTAGAGTGGTCAGAAGACTCTGCATTTTGTCAGCGTCTTCACCAAATAGAACTATGTCATTGGCATGTTCTAAGTCAACAAGTGAACCTTTCGGTAGAAGTCCAACCCCTGGAAATTTAGACGAGGAAAGTGTTATCTCTAAAAGTACGTCGACGACAAAGTTAAACAAGAATGGGGAGAGTGGGCAGCCCTGACGAACACCACTTGAGGTAATCAATTCTGATGACAGTTCCCCATAAGCTCTCACTCGACTAGTTGTGTTCGAGTAGAGAGTAATTAAAAAGAAGTGTTTATAATCATATAAAATAAACTTTACAGATATATTAAGATAAATTGTGTAATAATTAGTGTGAAATGATTTAAATAACTACATGTTTAGTATGAGAGAATGGGTTTTGTGGAGATTGTGGTAATTTCAATAATTGAAATAGTGAGTCAGTTGAAACTGGGCCATAATGGAAAACCTAGAAGCATTGGAAGGCCGTTTCATTCTATGGTGAGACTCCTCAATGGCAGTGCGCATCCACGATACGGCCTCGTAAGATTCGAACCCAGGGCCTGTCGATCTCGCGCGCGAGCGATTACTACAATCTCCACAAAACATCTTCTGATATGAATCAATATATGCTCACTAGTGACTAGCTTCATGAGGTATATTCTGGAGTTCTAGTGAGAACAGTGGAGTTTAACCAGGTCACTTGTGAGGTAGTAACTCAATGAAGACAATGGTGGACGGTGGTACAATATCGAGTATTGGTTGAAGTTAGACATTAAGACTATTGGATACCGGTCGACTCAGTGGTCTATTGGTTAAGCGTTCGCGTGCGAGATTGATAGTTTGTGGGTTCGAATTTCGCGAGGCGAGATCGTGGATGTACAGTGCTGAGGAGTCCCACAATGGGACGAAACAATCGTCCAGTTCTTCTAGGTTTTTCATGATGATCTAACTTCAATTGGCTCATGATCTCAACTATTGAAATAATTCATGTTTTTTTATTTGTTCAAATCTGTCATTTATACACACAACGACTAGAATATCTTGTTTTCAACTTGACATTAATTGTTTACAGAGATCTTGTTCAGTCTGAAGAAAAGTTTCATTTCATTGATTGTCATTCGATTGAAATGACTATTTTACAGTATGCATCGTAAATTGAACTTAAACTTTTCGTCCCTATATGTAGCTCTTCAGTAGTGCACATTAATAACTCTTCTAGGTTTCCTAGTCTTGTGTCAATTCCTGAGGAGTCTCATACTAAAATAGTAAATCTGTTTAATGTTTCATGACTTTCAGTATATACCTAACTAAAATCAGTCTGCGATGTACACCATGAAATACAATTATGTTCACGAGTCGGTTACGCTAAAAAATGCGATTAACAGACATTTACATCTAAAAATTATCCAGTTCATCGATTAGTAGCGAAAAAAATATTAAGCTGAGTATGCAAATTAAGTCACGGGAGTTTAGTGCTATTAACCACTGGGTTCACTATCCATTCTAATTCAAATGAAATTGGAAACCTTGATTATGTGATCTTAACTCATCATTGAGGGTTACAGGTATCATGCTTGCAACGAGATCTACTAACATAATGTTCACAATTTTATGCTAATTTTATGTAAATATATTCTATTGTGGTGTATATTACTTATGTTTGAAGATATAAGTAGTATATAACACCAGTCAGAAATGGAATGTTTTCGTGCAGGAGATTAAGAAAATTGAGACGAAGAGAAGGAAGAAGGGAACTTAACGATAAATTTTATAATAGATAATGCGAAAAAGATGTATAAATAATGTATTTGATGTATGGTATTTACATTTTACTAAACTACTCTATGATTGTACATTAAACAATAAATAGGTCTCCCTTCCCCCCCCATCCGCTGTGTACTTGTCCTTTACACTATGAACTATTCCACAGATTTTCAAGTGTATTCTGATCAATAGTTATTTATTGAAAATCTGATCTAAATAATTAAGAATTGATAGGCTAATTGTAAGCACTATTTGATCATTATTATTATGTAATCACTATGTAATCATTACTTAATAATATATTGTCTAGTCAAATGAAATACCTTCAATACTTCCCGACCGTAGCTGCTACCTTGACGCGGTGGTCGGGCTTGCCTATCGTGATAACCCAACCGAGCTATATTGACTGGAACATATGTTCCTGTAGGTTCTAACATGCCAGGCAGGTCGATCGGAGAACAATAAGACTAAAAGCAGCAACTCAAGGTCTGAGGGCGAAGTCGTACTGCTGACTGTAGAGGGGTGTGATAGCAGTAAGGTGTTTCCCTCAGACAACCAGCATCTACAGCGATGCTGCCTTCCCACAAGGAGGGGTGGGGTTAGAAAAGGTCGACCCTAAAATGTCACACCTCACCTTACCTCACGGATTTCCGTCTCCGGCGGTGGGGCCCTTTGAAGAACGGAGCTAACATTAAAAACCTTCCACGAAAAGGCCGTGCGTGACCGGCCTCAAGCAGTTGTCCTTTGGGCTCTGCGGTCACGCTCCCAGGTCGTTAAGACCAACACTGATCCAATTTCCTTTTCAGGTTCCTCAAGAAATACCCTTCCACGGTGTGGGCAGCCGGGAAGTGACATCAGCCCTCATACCCGTAACAGCACAAGAGACCAAGGTGGTCACATTCAAATCCTTCCTACACCTTCTAATACCTCTCTTATCTCCCCGACTAACCCTCCTCACGTCTCTTTATCACCTCGCACCGCTAGAGCAAACGATTCGAGTACGCGTAACTCTATCTCTGGTCTCCTGAAACCACGCTCTAAACTACATGTAGGAGCTTTTAACGTAGGAACACTGTGCCAAATAGGACAACAGGCTTCCTTAGCTATGACTTTAGAATCTCGAACCATCGATGTTTGCTGCGTCTCCGAAACGCGCATACAGGATCCGAGTAGTGACTGACCTTCAATACTTTATATAAACAAAATAAGAAATTCTTAACTCTTTCTTTTTTTTCTCTCATTTAAACAGAATGAAACAATGAAACATGTAAATGTACCAATAAACGAAATACAATCAATTGATAAGTGTACAATAATTGATAATGAAACTATATTGGATACAGATCATTGTAAAGTGTTTATTGAACAACAGAATAATCAATATAATATACAACATAAAGATGATCCAATAATTTTATCCAAATATGTACTTGATAAATCTAGAATAGATCAAAATAGAACTAATGAATTATTTGATAAATCTACTAAATTAAAAGACAATACTACTTATCAATCATCAGATCAATTGTTAATAAGTCTTACGACAGATGATATGGATGAACAGAATGATGATGATGATAATAATAAAATGAATTCAAATAATATTATATTAGCTATTAAATCTAAAACACCGCCAATAAAGCGTAGAAACACTGCATTTGCTATTAAAGCTAAATCTGCTAAATTAAAACAACCTTTGAATATATTTATACCAGCAAACATTCGTTGTCATAATAAATTATCAGCAGCAATATCTAAAACGAATGAAACTGATTGTATTCAATTGAAAAAGAAAGAAGAACTTACAACTTTATTTGAAGATGAACAATCATTAAAGAATCAAGACATTACTGCTACTACTACTAATACTACTGATACTACTACTACTACTACTACTACTACTACTACAATTAATAATAATAATAATATACCATCAGATAATTTATCAACATTATTCTATTCATCACTATCTAGATCATCAAGTTTGAATGGAATTAATGAATTAATGAAAAGGTATTCATCTTCTTCAAATGAATTATACAATCATTCAGACACTGTTCATAATAATAATAATAATAGTCCATTTGAACATCTTAAAAATACTGAGATTAATAATAATTCTTATTTAGAATTATCAACAAATAATGATATAGATTATGTAATTCATCTATTGAAATATATACAAACATTTGAATATCAATTAATGAATGTGATTCATTTAGCAAGAAATACAATTGATCAGAATAATCATTCTATAAATGATGATGATGATGATGATGATGTATTAAAATTGACAAATGAGAACTTAAGTAAGTGTGTAGATTGTTTATTTATATCACAGAAGTGCTTTTGTAGATCTTATAGTAATTTCAATGGTTGGGATGATGAGTCAATTGAAGTTAGACTACCATGGAAACCTGGAAGCACTGGACTGTCGTTTCGTCCTATTGTGGGACTCCTCAGTGGCAGTGCTCATCCACGACCATGCCTCGCAAGATTCGAACCCACAAACTATCAGTCGCGCACGCGAACGCTTAACCAATAGACCACTGAGTCGACCGGTATCCAATAGTCTTAATGTCTAACTTCAACTAATCCATGAAATTGAACGACACATCCACCATTGTCTTCATTGAGTTACTATCTCACAACTGACACGGTTGAACTTGACTGTTCACTGCTTCTCATTAGAAATGCAGGAAATTCCTCTTGAAGCTAGTCACTAGTGAGCATATATTGATTCATATCAGAAGGTGTTTTGTGGATATCATAGTAATTTCAATGGTTGAGATCATTGTTTATTTCATTTTTAAAATATTATTTAACATGTACAAATTTCTTTTTTTTCATTCGAAGTTTTATTATTTTCGATTTGTGAATAAAGCATTAATTTTTCAAAGTTAACAGAAATAGTTCATTAGACAGTATATTAAATTAGATATTTCATACACATAGAGTTCCTTTTATCATTTTGAAAAGAGCAAGAATAAAGATTCTAGCAGAATAGTATGAATTCATTTTATTCCGTAGGTTCTCGTCAATTTGTAATTTGGTAATTTTATCTCTTTGAGTAGCAATATATTCCTTTACCTTTGAATATAAAATATCAATTCAAGACTGATCCATATAAACTCTTGAAATGATATTGTTAAACTTACTGATTATGTCATTTATTTTGGAAGTTTTATTAATTCTAGTAAGTTTATATCTGACAGAATGTCGGCTTAGATATGGAAAGCTCGTGTAGGCTGTGTTTACTTGAGTCAATTATGACATAGGAGAGAAGGTTGTCTACTAACAACGAGGCAAATATACTTCTCAGCAGTTCATTTTGTTTTTCTTTAACTCTGTCAAATGTGGACTTTAAAAGTAGAGGAATTTCAAAAGCTACTAGTGTAGTGTGTGCTACTTATATTGACATAAGTAGTATATGATGTTAGTCGTCAACAGAAGGCCTGGCAGCACAGACCCAAGAGGATAGAACAGTAAAGAATGGGAACAGAATGCCATTTGTATGAAAATGTAAGAACAATGAAGTCTGAGTCATTTTGAGACAACTGATGGACATTTTGCAAATTAAGCATTTACTATGTGATTGTTAGATATTATGAACAAGTCCTATAATTTTGTGTTAAATACATTCGATTGTCCCCACTAGTGTTCTTGTTCGCTACACTAGTATTGTATATATATATAATATATATATATATATATATATATATATATATATATATATATATATATATATATATATATATATATATAATACGTTGGCTATCACAATATTTTTACACTTGCTCAAAAGCCATTTATGTTCAATCATTTATCTAAACTTTGTATATTTGGTAAATTACATTAATGAGATATCCAGTACAATGAATCCAAATTTATTTCACTGAATTATACTCTTTGAATAACATCTTCAAACTCTAATCTTTCCGATTACTGCCTATACTTTTACCGCCTCTACCACTACGGGATTTGATTGGACAACTGCATCTCTGTGCTAATGTGGTGTGGCAACTTGAACTGATGTACGTACGTACGAAGTTCTACTTTGTTACTGACTAACTGACTGATCTTGTATTCATATGATAGTGACTTTGTATTATAGTGTATTCATTCGATGGTTCTTTATTTTTATCTATCTTTTTTTTCCCCTGATTTCCTTGTACATTATATTTATCTGAGCAACTTTGATGAGTACATGGTAGATACTATTTTCATTGTAACTAATCAACTTTATTATAAATTTTTAATTATTTTCTTTTAGATAATGATGAATTATTAACAGGTATTGGTCATATACAAATGTTAATAAATGGAAATCTTACAATGTTACGTAAATTATGTAAAGTTTACTTGGAAACTAATACACAAATAAAAAAACAACAATCAATGAATTACATTCCATTAAAAAGTGATTTAGAAGGTTATTGGAATTTAATATTATTACAGTATAGACGTTTTGAATCACAATTTCCAATATTAGTTAATTGGATTTCAAATGATTTTCGTAATGAATTAAAAATACTTATTAAAGAATCTCTTGGTGATCTACCTAGCTGTTCATCTGAATTCATTAGTTCTTCATATATGAATAAAGAATGTAAGAAGAACTCTACTAAAAAAACAAATATAGCTTCATATAAAAAGGTAGGTTACCTGTAATGTACGCGTTTCTTTTTTTGCTTGGAAATAAATGATGATGATGATGATAGTATCCAATATCTAGTTAGAACAATCGTTTCAGGAATATAAATAAAATCTCTATCGATAAATATACCTTCTTGGTGAAAAATTTTGAAACCTTGAACACTAAGGGGTTGTAATAATACAAAAAATGAATGATAATTCAACTAAGCGCTCATGAAAGGTCTTTCTCATTTATCGTATGATTATGGAATGAGGTGCCTTCATCTATTCGCGCTATTTCACGCTACATTAAGAGGTGATCTAACGTTAGATTATCGCATCTTAAACAATGATTTTGATATTATTATTTCTTATCTTCTACTTCTATCTAGGAAAAGTAATTTAAAACGACACTATCAAGAAGTTTAAAAATCAAGATTAAATCGTTTTTGTTTGAGGATGGTTTCCGGCATCATGTTGTGATTTACTTGAATTCTTTTTATAGAACACGTTAATAACATCGTTTGATGATAGGTTCAAAGAGAGATTATATATCTCTATAATAAAAATCATGTAAATAAACATAAGTTTTTCAACTTTCTATCCTTTTCACTGGAGAATGAAGATAGAAAACAATATAGAACTTACCGCTATAGGATATTAGTTCTTTTTATGAAACGTGAGATCAATATCGTAGCAATTATTGATCATTTATAAAATAGAGTTGTACAAACAATGTTGATTTTATCCCTACAAAACATGGTAAGGTTAAGATTCTAAGAAAAATATCCATTTTTGGTAATGTTGGTTGGAATTATGAGGAAAAGCATGGAACACAGTGGACAGATTGTATACAGTTAGATGATTTGGACTTCTCAAGTGACCTAGTTCTTCTACCCTATACACATCAACAAATTCAGATGAAGATAACTAGTATAGCAGCAGTCTCTGCATCAGTAGGCTTTAACATACACTAAGGAGAAACCAAGATCCTCAAATGCAACACGCAGAACATCAATCAAACCAATCCCACTTGATAAAGAAACTTTGGAAGATGTGAAATCTTTCACGTATCTGGAAATCATCATCGATGAACAAGGGGGATCCAATGCAGTCGTACAGGCTAGGATTGGCAAAGCAAGGGCTGCATCCCTACAGTTAAAAACATATGGAACTCAAAACAACTGTCTGTCAACCAATATCAAAGCGGGAATCTTCAATACGAACATGAAGACAGTTTTACTGTACGGAGCTGAAACGTAAAGAACTACTACAACCATCATCAAACATGTACAAATATTTATAAATACTTGTCTTCGCAAGATACTTAATGTCCGTTGATCAGATACCATTAGCAACAGCATACCATAGCAACAGAGGACAAACCAACTTCCATCTCAAGAGGAAATTAGGAAAAGATGTTGGAAGTGGATAGGACATACATTGCGCAAATCATCAAACTACATCACGAGGCAAACCCTAACTTGGAATCCTGAATAGAAGCAAAAATGAAGAAGAGCAATAAACACATTGGAAGCAAACATCATATGAATGTATAGCAACTGGTGCCAAATGAAAAGGATTATTAGGAAGAGTGGAATAAAGAATATTGATGGGTGACTTATACTCTTCGACGAAGAATAACAGACATTCATAAATAAGTAACTAGGAAACAATAGACTAACTAGAAAAATTTTTATAATTAAAAATTTTTTTTCCTATTTTTTCAAATAATTACCTTTATACAGATTGCAATCATGAGTCAATTGAAGCTAGACCACCATGGAAAACCTGAAAGCACTGGACAGCCGTTTCGTCCTAGTATGAGACTCCTCAACAGTGCGCATCCACGATCCCGCACTCCGCGAGATTCGAACCTCAGTACCTATCGGTCTCGCGCCAAGCGCTTAACCAACTAGCTTCAATTGATTCATGATTTCAATCTGTGAAATTTTTAAAATCCCCGCAAATCCCTTCTGATAATTACCTTTATAATCGATTATTATTTAATAATTAATCAATATTTATTTTTCACAATTTTTTTCTAATATTGTTGAATAAAAGAAATTATCTGGAATCAATAAAAATCATGATAAATCGATACAATTACATAGAACAATTCAACAACGTATTAATAATGCACGTAAACAATTATTAGAAAAACAAAAAATTCTACATGAAAAACATAATATGACTATGATTACAAATGAAAATGATACTGGTGATAATTCTATATGTAAAAATACATATTTTTATACAATTGAATATTAATGAAAAAAACATGGTTAAGGTATACATTTTATCATAAATATATATTCATATATATATATAGTGTCTATGTAATATGGATACATCAATAGCCTTCTAAATTATAAATTCTTTAGTTGTCAACATAAATTAAGTATATATTCTTCATAGGAATTATTACATGTACAGTACATATCTGTGCATATAATTTTTGTAAATAAGTTTGATGATATATAATTCATTTCTTCTACTCAATACTGTTCTGTATTGATGATGATGTAATACAGATGAGAAATTTTATTTTTTTTCTTCTTCATGTATCACTTTTTCGTCATATACATAAACAATATTGTACACTATTTCATTTTATCCCTCTTTTTTTCTTACTTGTCTAATGTCTATAGCAATAGTAGTAGTAGTAGTCGTGGTGGTGGTGGTGGTGGTGGTGGGATTAGTATTAGTACTAGTAGTACTATTTTCAATCTATGTATCCATGGAAATTAATTTTCTCATTAATTTCAATGTTTATTTTTTTTGTTTTTTAAATTAATTGAAACTTCCAAATTTATCATCATTACTTAGGAGAAGGTAAAAGAATATTCTACAATAGAAATGAAGATTTATCATGTTTTTTTTAATGTTTTTCTTTTTTCTTTTCTTTTCTTTTTTTTAAAAAAAAACAAAAGTTATTTTTATCACAATTTTTTTTTCGTGTGTTGTTTATTTTGATTGGTCAATATATAAATATTTTTCTTTATTTTTCTTTATAATAAATAGAATTACTTCTATTCATATGTGTATGCATTGAATAGGTTTTTGTCAATGAATTGATCTTAGAGTAATGAACAATGTGATTTTTGTTTAATACTTTAATATGGATTACATTGTATCTATGATGTTGTAGTATGATTATTAATCTGTGTAGAAATCGCATGCATCATGTTACAATTTTAGATGATTGAAAGAAGGTCTACAGGACGCTGTGAATCTTGTTATTCAGGACTCGTCAGAAAGGGATACCTCGCTGTAACGACCTGCATCGTTTATCGATAACATTTTAGACTGTGAAGTTGAGTAGTATGGATTTGCAGTCCACAAGGAGGTATTTCTTGCTAAAGTGTAGTAAATATCACGAAACGTAAGCCTAGAATTAGATGAATATAACACTGGTTACCATTCATTCGTTCATCAGAATAAATATATTTTAGTGGCCCGTTTATCTGACACCCAGTTAGACGAACTAATGGATATGACATGAACATTAATCTTCTGTTTGGTTTTGTTTAAGCGGTTATAGTAATAAGGACCCAAATATGGATCAAGTTGAATGAATTTATTTCATGTACTAGTTTAATCAGACAGATATTAAAAACAAGAAGCAGGAAAGCGAAACAGAAAAGTAAATGTGCCAACTCCGCTTGATATAGTGTGTGATGAATGAAGTAATCAATACACACACACACTCTCAAATAAAAATATTAAAGGTTATAAACGAATAATTAATAAGGTCAAAGGAAAGTAAATTATTTAGTATGTCCGAAAGTTAGTACTACCCATGTGGACGGCATATAGTAACAAAATTTAAAACATAGAACCTACAAGCCTGTTTAGCCAAAATGGCTCAGTGGTAATGTCCTTAACAGTGGTATTGCGTTGAATAGGTTCACACTGCATGAAGAACACCATTCTTCTCTTAAATATGGATACGCTTTAGTATCGATTACTTACCAGAGCAAACCCTGTTTAGACTGAGATTACTGTTGTTTTAGTCCAACCACCTAACAACAGTTGTAAAGGTGTCTAGCATCTGTAAAGACACTAAAGTATTAGATTCTCAACTTACAACAAAAACAGTCAGAAATACTTCAGACGTCTCAGATATATTCAAAAGCATGAGTGACACGCAGTGTGATCGAAGGGATGTATATGAAGAGAAAACTCTTGCATTTATTAAGCTAAAAGATAAATGAAATGAAAGTACAAATATTCATTGCAAAGATACTATCTATTAAGGCTTATTTAATCAGTATGGCCTATTGATAAAGCTATGGATAGCTGTATTTGTGCTATTTTATTAAATACTCTATGTTTAAAGGCAGTGAACTGTAATCCTCCAGTAAGAAAGGGATTAAATGAAAATGGGAATAGCCAGAAGAAATATATGGGGTAATGAATACCACTTGTTTGTTTAGACGTGTGTCCGATACTGTTATTATCTTGGACAAATAAAATTTTTAGATTTACCACGAGAATATTTGAGATGAATGGTGTTCGAATGTGTTGTACAGTCTTTAGTTAATAGGTCTTTAAGTATATTACTTTATAAATTGAATAGGTTCTAGATCAAGTGGTTTAACTCTAGCACTTTCATTTGAAGATGTGATAGTCTTGAGTTCAATCCTATGTAAGATTGTTAATAGATACTATTGATTTCCCAAAACTACAACTAATATTAGCTCATACTAAATAAATCTATTTAAATAATACTATATTCATCATTTTTACAGTGTACACACTAGTTCAAGTACTGTACTATTCAAGCGTTCCAATAAAATTGATAGTTACAAATAATGACCATATTCTAGTCATTAAATGAATGAGTATGATTGTCATTAGTTTATTGTATACAACTATGTTTGTTTGATCTTTTTTTTTTCTGGAACGTTTTTCATAAAGTATAGGTTTACTACGAATTAGATTGTTTAACATTGTTGACAATGCTATAAAGAAATGACTACATAAATACATACATATACATTGTATAGTAATGATTTATTATCTAAAGGATAAACAATGAAAATTAGTTATTTTCTCTGTTCAATTGTCATTATGAATTCATACTTTATGATGTTATATTGTTGAATATTGTCAGTTTTTGTATTTCACTTTAATGAGATTGCCGCTTAGTTTGTTTGTTTTGATTTATTGTAGACAATTCTCCGTCTTTCTCTCTTCCTCTCTAAAACAAAGTTTATCGATTGTTAAGAGAATATATAATTCAGATTGTATGTTTAAACAATTTATGAAGTTTGATTTTAGTAAGGGATTGATATAAACTAGAGTGATTGAATTTCATGGAGTTGTCATGTCCTTGTATGCTGTTGAGATATTCAGAAAAATATCCCAACAATTATCCTGTTAAGTCTAATGCTATCCTTGGACTTGGAATGGTATCATTTTCCTATTGGTCAATACTTATTTCACGTGTCGTTTCCCTACTGGTACGATGTGGTCTGTTTGATTGGTATATAAACAGAGTATGTTTGAAATATAGTGATTCATATCTCAGAAGCTGAGACTTGCGTTCTGGACTAAACTGGCTGGGCTGGACAGGAAAGCAGGACCAATCAGGACTCTAGGCTGTTCTTACGTGTTTTACGCGTCTTTGGTCCGATCGATAATTCGCTGCCATCTAATCTGCTGTCACAAGTTATAACATATGCTATTTTTTAGTAGTATGCATTCATGACCTCACTAGATGACAATATCTATCTTTGCTTATAATACATTTGAATTAAGGCAATATCGAAGTGATACACACAGTACGCATATATGCCAATAAGAGATTGATCAATTGTATTCTTAAGCATTAATGGGAAGATTCAAGTAAACAATAATGCTAAGTGAATTTAACATTACACTTTTCTCAAAAACATTACCTTCTTAATGTCAAAAACTCCGTCTGTAGCTCTTATAGAGTTATTGCCGGTCCCTTAGCGCGGGTAAAGGAAGAGAGTTGGGCATGGGATTAGCCACCCAATCCCGTAGAAAACTAACTCGCTAAAAAAGGCTAACCAAAAAAATAATTCGAACCATTTAAACTCTGCCCTGGGACTTAGAACAAGGCTGTCTACTCTATCCCTTCCTCTTTCTTCTGGTGGTCGACTGGATCATGAAGACCTCGACATCTGAGGGAAAACATGGAATACAATGGACAGCTCAGAACCAATTAGACGACTTGGACTTCGCAGATGACCTAGCCGTCATATCGCGTACACACGAACAAATACAGATAAAGACAGCCAGTGTAGCAGCGGTTTGTGCATCAGTAGGCCTCAACATACACGCAAGGTACTCAACATCCATTGGCCCGATACCATTAGCAACAGCCTTCTGTTTGAGAGAACAAACCAGCTTCCAACTGAAGAGGAAATTAGGAAAAGACAATGGAAATGGATAGGACATACATTACGCAAATCATCAAACTGCATCATGAGGTAAGCCCTAACTTGGGAAGCGGAAAAGAAGAAGGCAAAAGAATACAATTCGTCGGAAAATAGAAGCAGAAATGAAAAGGATGAATAACAACAGGAAGGAGCTGGGAGAGATTGCCCTGAGCAGGGATGGATGGCGAATGCTGGTGAGCGGCCTATGTTCCTTCACGAGGAGTAACAGGCGTAAGTAAAGTAAAAGGTTAATGTCAAAGTCATTATCTAGAGTACGATCTATTTTTTAAAGTACTCGATTGTGATCTATTCAGTGTATATTTCAAATGAAACATCATCCAAACGTATTTGATGCTTGTAAAAATAGATTAAGTATAGGAATTATAACTAATTAATGATTTTATATATGAGATATGGACTATTATGAAAAGTTATCAAACATAAACGAATTGTAATTTAAATGATTAATGTCATTCACATCAGTACGATCTGAAGACTTACTTACTTACGCTTGTTACTTACAATGGAACATAGTCCATCGACAAGCATTCTCCAACCCACTCTGTCCTGGACCTTCCTTTCTACTTCTATCCAAGTGTTGTTCATTCTTCTCACGTCTGTCTCCATTTCTCGATGTAATGTGTTCTTTGGTCTTCCTATTCTCCTTTGGCTTTGAAGACTTCAAGTGAGGGCTTACCTTGTAACGTAATTGGGTGCTTCCCTCAATGTATGTCATATCCATTTCCACCACTTCTTCCTAATTTTTTCCTCTGCTGGGATCTGATTTGTTCTCTCCCATAGTAGGTTGTTGTTGATAGTGTCTGGCCAACGAATCCGAAGTACTTTGCGTAAACAAGTGTTAATAAACACTTGTATGTTCTGGATGATGGCTTTTGTAGTTCTGATGACTAATATTTAGTATTTCATTATGTAGTGAAAGAGAACACAAGTAAGGACAATCGAACATATTAAAATATAAAATTACAAAGCATCTTAGTAAAATCTAAGAACAATAAAATAAATACTTCATTAGCAAAATGTCAATCAATTATCTTAGACTTCACTGTTCCTTCATTTCCATACCAATCATTCTTTGTTCTCATTCTCTTTACTTTGATCTTAACTTTCTACTGTCAGTTATTTTACAGTTAGTTATATAATATACCCTTGTGGGCCAGGGTAATCTTACATTGGTTTTCGGGAGAGCCAGACACCATAGGAACTTTCACGTGACAAACCCAACAGTACAGCTCAATCCCGTTTGACAGGAGAACCAGGCCACGTATAGACTTTAACGCTACAAAACGGAATAGTACAGCTCAATCCTGTGGTACAACCACACAGGTACCATGCACCCTGGTGGACCATTCACACCATTCATATACACATTCACATTACATGTACAGTTTTTCCGATCAATGATCGCGTGAATCAATTATGCACAGCACGAACAGGCCAAAGTTGACCTATCCCGCTTACATGACAGTCAAACTCGTCAATGTTAGCAATGATGACATGCTTTACAATGTCCCAATGACAATGGCCCTAGGGAACACTGAAAGGAAACCACCAGTATGAATGAAATCGGTTAATTAGCAAACCAATTTTTTGCATGAACAGTCAGCAAAAATTGCCAAAGCAATGCTGAACCATCCACAATACCAATGGCGAACCTTCAGCCTCATATGAGACCTTCAGCTCTACATAGTCGGATATTTCACTTTCTATTAATGATACATATTATTTATATCGATTGACATCAGTAGTAAACACCACAATTCTACTTATTTTCATGTTTCAAGTTTCTTAAATCTGAGTTATACGTCTTTTTCTTGATAGTTAAATAATTAATTTGTATAGTTACTAAGTGATTCATTAAAAAAAAAGAGAAGTAAACATATTCCATGAAATTAATAAAACTTGTATAATATTTTCATGTTGAAACTTGTTCCTTTTTAACATTGTACTGGTTTATTGGGTTATGTTTATGGCTTTTATAAGTTGTAGGTGTTTATTCAATCGATTTTTAAAAGGTCATATTATTGTTACTGATCTTTACAAGTTAATCAGTACATATTTATAGAACAATTTAGTGTATAAATGTTACTACATTTTATGATAATCATTATTATAAAGGAACTTGACTTTCACTATGAGACGTCATAATTATTCTAAATGAAGACCTCCTAACTCTCAGGGCAAAGTTTAAATGGTTTGAATTATTCTCGTTTTTGGTTAGCATCTTTTTTTTTCTTCAGAGAATTAGTTTTCTAAGGGATGGGGTGGCTAACCCCATGCCCAATTCTCTTCCTTTACCCGGGCATGGAACCGGCAGTAACTCTAGAAGAGCTACAAGTGGATGGAGAGTGCTGGTGTGCGGACTATGCATCCACTCTTTGTGCTCTCCTAAATTCTAATCTTCTGAATTCTTCTTGTCCCTTATTTTCTTTCCACATTTATTTTACTGTATTATACTCCTTGAATAAAATCTTCAAACCCTAATCTTTCCGATTACTGCTTATACTCTTACCACCTCTACCACTACGGAATTTGAGTCAACAACTGCATCTCTGTGCTAATGTGGTATGGCAACTCGAACTGATGTACGTACGTACAAAGTTCTACTTTGTTACTGACTGACTATGCTCCTCCACGAACAGTAACAGGCGTAAGTAAGCAATTATTATAAGGTTTATATGAAGATGGTTGAAGTTTAATTGCTTACATTATGAACTTTCATATCTACTTACTTACTTCGTAGTCTCATACAGTTGTCATATTTTTTTCACTTGCAGCTTTTTCCATTGTCTTTGATAGATCTTCTATGTAGTTCTGTTTGTCAGCTCTAATGCTCTTCTTCACTTGATTGTTTGGTTCTGTGTATTCGACTTATGCCATGACTTTCTGTGCTCTTGTTAAGCTGTTGTTAATTGTTGTCTGATATGATGAAATGAAAAAGCAAAATTACATTATTTTACTTGTTGCGATTTTTGTACAGCATTACTTCCTTTTATATCCAATGTGCTAATTACTCATTGTAGTTTTGTTTTGCTTCCTAATGTGGTATTTTAGTTGGTATAATATTAGTTTATTCAGGTGGGATATTTATTCAAGTTACGATATTCATGTATTAAATGAATATGAACTATACTCGGCATGACATGTAGCATGTGATGTTGTTATGACTCTAAGTATTTTTTGTATATGGGATTTCATCCTAATTAATAATCAAAATGAATGTACAATCAATGTATAAATGAGTGTATTTTCGACTAGGTTTGTCGTCATGTCTTGGGTTTAATAAATCTTTGCTTGTACTAGTTTTGGTGTTCTTACTTCGCGTTGTAGGAATTGCAGTGGTTCCTTGTTTTACAAGTATAAGTAATAAGTGATTCAGACATAACAGTCAGCGACGACTAGACATAAAAGTTGGCGACACAGTTATAACAATTAACGATTAGTCATCACACTGTCTTCTCGTTCTTCCTTTCTTGAATCCTGCCTAGGGTCCTCGTTCCTTTCTCCCAGTCTGTCCATGTCGTCCGATGATATTTTGATACCCGGTGTTGTCTATTCTGACTTTGGCGTTCAGGCCTCCCATCAGGGTGGTTGGATCCTTTCCTGAACACTTCACTACGATTGATTGAAGCCTGTCGTAAAACTAATTTTTATCGTCGCCGTTCTTATCATTGGTGGGTGCTTAACACTGGAAAATATTCATTGTGTTTCCCTCCTTCTTTGTTTTGAATGATTCTTTGATGATTTTGGATCCATGAGATTCCCATCCAATAAGTGCATTTTGTGCTTCTTTGGACAACATCAGAGCAACTCTGTGACTGTGTGGATCATTTTCTTCTTCGTGACCAGAGTATATCAGCATCTTTTTCGATTATAGCCTTTTCTGTCCGGCTTGGGTTCAATAGGTTTCACTTAATCCGAGTGTAATAAGTTAATAAATGTAAATTGCTAATCTTGAAAGAAAAGTTCCTATTTCATTTTCATTGGTTGTTTAGATATTCCCAATGGTGTTCTTAGGGCTATAATTGATCAGTTTCTTTTGGAAGAGACCCAAATAGGACATTAGTTTCATGAGAGCTATCAAATAAGTTGATAT